ACAAGCACTTCTTGCCTCTGAACAAACCTTAGCTTTGACTAGGAACGTTGAACAATCCCACAACAGAGCAGGGAGGAAGATGACAGTAGCACCTGGACACACCTAGCCGACCAGGTAGACCATTTCACATGCTTGTGCCATGGCTGCAACTCGCCCGTGCTCTTCGGGACATCAATCAGAGACGCCACGCTATGGAACCAGTTTTTAAGACGCAGGTCCATAAATCTTATCGGTAATTTTGAAATCGCGAAAGCTTCGAAGACCAAAGATGTTTTGTTACTGTTATTATTGATGATTTTGGTGCAAAAAGTAATTCGGTGATAAACCCTGATGTGAAGAGATGTGAGGCTATTTTGAATGTTAATATTTCCTACATAATGTGAATATTCATCTGCATGTTGCAGAAATATTAACATATTCAAGGGGTACAGTCCCAGACCCCACTTCATGTCCTCTGTAATACATATGGCATATGTACATAATACCTTTCCAGAAAAGAGTCTGAAGTCTACAACGTCTGGCCCCAAGGGTTTCGGCTAAGGGACTGCAGACTATACTATATGGTAATGTGTACTTGGCTTATATTAGGAAAAAAGTCTTTGCCTCTATTCACTTACTAAGACGCTCTAAACAGAGCTGAAATGAACCAGCTGTGTTTCCCCGGAAAGGGCACACACAATCAATTTGGATCATTTAAGCTTATTGAAGACTTCAACTCATAAAGCACCAATAAGTCTGAATCAACAACTCCTGATCTCTTATTGTAATAAAGAAGATTTTAATTACCTCAAACAACAAGCATGCAATGAACCTGCACATTAGGGAGCACTCAGGGGTTTTTATCTAGAAATCTCGCTTTGCCTTCACTCCAACTTCGGTCATTAGTGGAAACACCACACTATTCAACCCCTGTTAGTGTCACACGAACATTTCTTTAAGTGACCAATCGCGGAGCAGGGAATGAGTATGGGACGGGGGAAGGCTTAGGACAGGGTAGAAGCCGTACTGTGATCAGACAACGCAAAGTCAAGTAGCCAAGCAAGAGCTCTAACAGGACATTCTGAAGTCATTGTTCTAATCACTGGAATAGCCCAAACCTTCTGACTTCAGGATACCAAATGACATCTTCAAAGTCTTGTTTGTCCAGTAAAGTAATACATCCATGGTTTCAGGGATTATGGGGTGGGCATTTTTTGGTGGAGGTTGGGAGGGGGCATTATCCTGCCCACCAAAACCCCCACTGATTTTTATTCCTTAAATGTACCAAGTATCACTTGCCTCAGGGCCTTTGCATTTCCCTGTTCTACAGACAGGCTCCAATTCACCTTTGCTATCTTTTGTTTATTTAATCTTCACCTGAGGATATTTTTCTATTAATCTTCAGATAGAGTGGGAGGGGGAGAGAGAGAGAAAGACACATCTGTGAGAAGGACATATCAACTGGTTGCCTCCCGCACCAGGGCCAGGGAAGAGCCGCAACTGAGGGATGTGCCCTTGGCTGGAATCGAACCCGCGACTCATTGGTCCGCGGGTCGACGCTCTACCGCTGAGCCAAACTGGCCAGGGCTCATCTTTGCTATCTTAATACATATCTAGTAAATATCTTTTATCTTAATAAACATCTGCCTCCACAGAGGTTTTCCAGCTTGTGACAGTGTCCCTCTTTCAGAGACTCCCAACTGATACTACACAGCTCTTCACACGACTGCTTGTTCACTTTCTGTCCTGACTAGATTGTAAACACCTTCAGTGTAGGGACTCTGTCCTTCCCGTTGACCTGTGCAACCCAGCACCTACAGGGCAAAAGGCATGTGAGAAAAAAATGCTGCAAGGCAAGACATAAAGCTGAATAATAGGAGATGGGGACATGAGAAAATCCAAATTGGGTCCAGTCTCCTAGGTATGGCTTGTGATCTAATTCCTAATTTGTTTTCTAGCTTTAATTGAGCTGTAAAGAACGTTGGCTATTGAAGGGCTTTGGTTTTATTTTTACAAGGACATTTATTTTTCTATTAGACTGGATATTTTGAAGTGCAGGAACTACACGACCAAGTCTAGGATTTCAGCCAGGAAAATGTGGAGAGGTCTAATTTCTGGATGTGTACAAAGTTGTGGATGACCTCAAAGAATTCCTGGGAAGCAGCAAAACCTACAAAATTGGGTTTGTTGCAATTTGCCCTCAGGGAGCAGGTCCAGATTTCTGTGGGGCATATGCTTCCAATTCCACCTGCAGAGCTGAAGCAAGGAGGCAGCTGTTGAAAAGCCAATATCATGACTTGATCTCAGGAGGAATCGAAAGGAACCAGGCCCAGTGATGCTTGTACCCACAGGCAAGGTACTTTTGTCTTGAAAAACCACAAGAGGATGGAACAACTTCTCAAGCAATGAGTCCTCACTATTCATTTGTACTTAAAATGATGCCACACAAATAAAAGAAGGTTCAATTCCACTCAACACACAGCTTTCTCCCCTCCAGGGACTCACAGCAGTGGCATTTAGGTCGCATGATTCTTCGCTGTGGGGGCTGCCCCGTGCGATGAAGTGTTCAGCAGCATCCCTGGCCTTTACCCACTGGATATGAGTACTTTACCTCTAACCACAACAGTGACAACCAAAATTGTCCCCAGACAATGTGTAATGCCCCCCAGCCACCCCTGGGAGTGGGGAAGTGTTGTCTCATTATCTCTGGTTGGGAACAATACTGGTGTTCTACCAATCCCAGTGCAATCTTCAATGACGACTCTTCTCTGACACCACACACAAGACAAATAAGAAATGGCCCCAGTGCTGATACTAACTATTGGAAACATTAAAATTTCCCTACTTCTATTTTAATTCCTTAAAAAACAATGTAGTTATATGGAGAGAAATTAACCAAGTGTGAGATGTTCAAATAGTGCGAAATCTCAGGAAAAGCTGGTATTAATAAAGAGCTCAAATAAAGTATTACAGACATGGTTTGGGCAAAAGTGAGCAATTTTTCTGTGCATATTTTAAAGTTAAATTTGATCCCATTACCTTTGATCTCTGAAACTCAAGTTCCTCTAAGTATATCCACTAAGTAATTTAACATGTTTATCACATAAAAAAAAAAAAAGCAGGAAGCTATGAGCTAGATGGGATTGGATGAGAAACCCAATTAATATAGGCAGCCTTACCATCTGAAATGACTTAAAAGACATAAATTCAAACAACTTGGTCAAACGGTAAGACTGGGCGTTGTAGCTGCCATTTCTCATTAGCTTCTGAATTTCATGGTGCTCTTTGAGTAAAAGAAAACCAAAATATTCATTGAAAATAATGTTTCCAAAAGAATATGCATCTTAGCCTGTGCATTTTCCAGATACGAGGAGGAGACAGGCCGGTCCGGGCATGAGTGGATGTGACTGGGGAAAGGGGGGGGAGGTTGTTGCTGGCTCCAGGGTTCTTTCCCAGGCAGCCACCAAAATACGTTTTCAAACTTTTAAGCAAAGGTCTTTTGTCTGGAACAACATTAACTGAACAAATGGCAGCGGGATTCTAAGATGAAGAGGCTTCGGAGCCAAGTTGGTGGTATAAACTATCCCTTCCACTCAAACTGCCCACGGGAACCGGTCAGCCAGAGCAGAAGGGAAAACCCAAACGTAAAAATCTGTCATTCTGCTTCTAGGAATCAAGCTTTCCAAGCAGAAAGAAAGCTAAGGCTTCTAAGAAATGATTCATCCAGTTTAAAGGGAGGAGGACAGCCCATGAAGTAGAAACCCTAACTCATGAGACATAATTAGTGTGAGCAGGACAAGAAGTCCCACAGATAGATGAATCCTAGTACAGAAAAATACTGATAGTGAGAATTTCTCAGTTAAACTAAAAATTATTAAGCATTTTCACATAGTAGTTATATCTGGTTTCCCCAAGAATCATGGATAAGATACAAATCTATAGGTATATACAGGTGTTTGTAAAGAAATAATATTGATTTTCTCATCTTGTAGGGATCCTCACCTAAAGTTCAAGGATCCCTAAAGGGCCCCTCAACGGCCTTGAGGAGTTAAGGTGGGTGCTGAAAGCCTGTACATTATGTACAAATCTGTGTGTATATACGTGTGTTTTTTCTATGGAGGGAGGGGTCTCAAGCATTCATCAGATTATCCAAGTTGGTCATGATGTCACAGAAGTCACAAAACAAACACGTAAGTTTCTCCACATTTGCGTCCAGCCATAGGTCCGATGCACAGCTGTTCAGTTCAGTTCTTCCACAAACCTGTAAAGCTCACCACATGGGGGTCTGTCCCAACACAAGAATATCACCATCCTGATCGTTATTAAAGGCAAAAATGAGGTTAGCAATGGGATGGAGGGTCTGTCCCCCAACATGAATAAAGGAGTTTGGAGACTTGATCTTTCATCCTCGCTCCTTCACCGAAGTAACACCTGTGGCCTGGGGCACCCAGATATATTTGCTGACCAGCAAGCAGCATGGATCTTTCAGAAAACTGTCACGGGGAGGCAAAACGCCACCATCGATCCCCACAAAGTTAACCGGGAGTCATACCACCAACGGCCACGGCCTCTTTTGTAACAGCTGATGGGCCAGACAAACCTACCACCGCTTCCCTACGGGAGGAGTTCCTGAGACTGTTCTTCATAGAACAACCAACTTTGCTCATGCCAAAGGGCAGAAAAGGAGTCACCGGAGTTTCATAGGAAACTTCACCGTTCGAATGCAGGGTTTCAGAAACGGACAGGGAAAGGAAACGGTGTCAAATGGAGCAGGTGCTGGAAAACCATCGCCCAGACCTGAGTCTGCTCAATGCAGGGCATGCACGAGGCCTACATACGTCTGCAGTGAAACAGTATGGAGACACCTGTCATGCAGGACATGAACGATTTCCGGAGACAAAGGGCGGGAGGGACATTACAAGTTTGATTTGCAAAATGACCAGGAGTAGACATAGCATTTCACTAGTCAAGACTCAGAGCACAGCCACCCTTTGCCATCTGAGGTCGGGAGTTTCTCTCACCTCAACAGGAAAGCGCCTGCCATTGATGCTGTGCTCGGAGCCCGCAGAGCCGTTGCTGTGGCCCCAGTGAAACTCGATCTTCTCGGCTTTGAATCTCCCAGGCAGGCCAGCACCACTGACGAAATAGTCATCTTTGAGAAGGATGGCAACTGTATAAAATGGAAGGAGAAAGAAACAAAGTGACTTTCAAAAGCAAACTCAAAAGATTTCTTCTGTTGCTTCAATTATGATTACATCGCCTGACATACTGTTAAAAACAGAAGTCGAAACCAAGTAGCCTAATAAAGGAGCACATTCTAGCTGCAGAATGCTCTCAGGCAGCAGTTGACTTAATCATGAGAATCACCAGGGAATGGTCTCAGAGTTTTTCAACCACTTAATAGATGGAAAAAATGAGACAATGACAGGGCAAGTGCTCTGAACTGGGGTCGCCCAAAACTGCTCGATGCTCAGTTATCTGGACAGTGAGATTCCTGGGACCACCCCAAGATTCAAGGTCTGGAATGAGATGGGAAATATATATAAGAAGCCAGAGGTGAGAGGCATGTTTCTTTAATCAGAAAAGGGCAAGACATCAGAAAATAAAATATGCAGGTTCTAATTATTAAGGCAATGGCAGAGAAAGGGTAGCAGGAATTGGGTACTGCATTTATCTCATTTGATAAAGGTGCTCGGGAAAGTGCAGTGAGAACTCTACTCATTAATTCTCTCAGGTCATTGCAGATTAGATTTACTTTACTGCTTCTGTTCATTCTAAGTATAAGACAACTCCCTTTGCCCAGATGAATGTCTATGTCCACAGGGAGACTCAATCAACTCAAACCCTAAAAATTCTTCCTTAAAATGTGGGAAAGAGAAATCGAGACCAAATAACTTTGACTTACACTGACAAAAAATTATTTTTTCCAAAAGGAATGTAATATTCAAATGCATAAAAAACAGATTTTATTTTATACGGGACACATCTCACCTTTTATTTTTATTTTTAAGGTGAATACATTCATTCATTCAGACACTTACTAACTGCTAAATAAATGTAAGATGCCAGCCAACACTCAACGGTTTATGATCAGAAGCCAAGCCTGTTGAGGCCAAGGAAGCTCTGGTATCCTCACTGTCTCCCCTTCCTAAAGAGGTCCCAGTTCGAGCTTCAGAGACAAATCCTGCATGAAAATTAGGTCTTCATGCAAAAAAGAAAGTAGACTAATAACCCATTTCTAAAACAATGCAATTATTTTCAACACTTCTCTATATAAAGGAAGCATTAAAAGCAAGTGGGGAAAAAAAACTTGCTCATATAAATCTCTTTTTATTGCATTCAAAAGGCAGTTTCTCTGGAACTTCTGGAAAATATACAATGACTGTTCAATTAGTGGGATTACAAATTAAAGAATAAAATGAAGTAAAAGCAAGTGTCTCTTATGCTGATTAAACGTGCTACCTTTATGGTGCACTAAGCAATTTTTAGAACAAGGGTTGGGAAATTGTTCCTGTAAAAGGTGAGATAGTAAATATTTAAGGCTTTGTGGGCGCTATGGTCCCTGTTGCAACTATTCAACATAGTCTTTGTAGCAGAGACATAGCTACACACACTGCGTAAGCGAACGGATCGGGCTGTGTTGAACAGCTTTATTTATCCACACAGAAATTTGGATACAACTTGTACGTGTCAAGGAGTATTATTCTCCTTTCAATTATTTTCAACCACTAAGAAATGTGAAAAACAAGGTGGGTGTCACTTGGTGATCTCTAAAATACAATATGATATTTTAGAAGATAAACTATTAAACCAAACATGGCTTTAAGTTTCAAAGCCAAAATACATAGGAATTAGCTCAGTAGTGTCTTAAATACCATTGATTACTCTCAGTGTGTTATAACTTCTATAGATAATATTTTACATTCGAAGAACGAAGGCAAAGTATTTTGAGTGCATTTGTTACAAGACACGTAGGGACACGCAGCATCTTATTAATATTTGATTTTACCTAAATCATTTATGTCTCTGTCAGGGGTCATTTTACTTGTTTTATATGAATAATTAAAAGCATAATTAGGAAACTGTGCAATCTGAAACATTAATCTCATTTTTCATTTTACAGTATTTCTCAATAGAGCACACAGCATGCGTGCTACATGCACCCACCCGCCTTCTGAAAGTGGCGTATGCTTCTGTCCACATATAAAACCAGGAACAGAGAACTTTCCCAGGTGCAGTGGAACAGTTTTCTGATGACCACTGATAACATGGCTCTGTTTCAAAACAAAATGTACCAAAGGTAGTCACTTTAGAACAGAGATGTATAGAGCGCCACGCTCTCAGGAGCTGGACACACCTGGGCTGGAGTCCAATGCTGTCACGTAACAGGGTGTGACCCTGGCCACGTGACCTCATTTCTCTGTGCCTCAGCTTCCAGTACTGTTCAAATAATGCCTACCTGGCAATCACACCTGAAGGAAATCACACGTGGAAAACATTTAACACAGTGACAGAAACTCAGCATGGACACACTCAATACAGCTACTGTCAAGCTCATTTCTGCAGACATGGACGGAGATCAAGCTCATCAGAGAAAAGGGAACACACAGGTATAATGCTCCGTTTTCAGGGAGAGGTAAATGTTAAAATAATACTGGTTTTCCCACAAAATAAAAAGTGTATTGGGCAGGGACAAAGCCAGGGTAGGTGTGGCCTAAACACTTGGGAGGAGGTCTTAAGTACTGAGTCGATGTTTTGAGATAAAAGACTGAGAAAAATGATTTTCCTTTCCTCGATTATTCCATCCTTTAGTCACATCAAGGAAAATACAATCCGAATTTGGTGCTAACATGCCCTCCCCACTAGCCTGATGAGCGTTCATTTCCACCTTTTACCCAAGAGCAAGGATTAAGCTAGAATTTAATATCTTGGGTAAATCTGACTTATTTTCATAGATTATAGACTTTGTTTTATATAAGTCTATCCATGTCATATAGCACAGGTTTTCCCATTATAATGTTGACAAAAAGTTTTCTCTTAAAACCAATTTGTTTATTTAAAATAAAGTGAATCAACTGAAAGAATCATTTAAATTTTAAAACAATAGCTGTTGGAGTTGAATCTGGATAAGGTGACAATTGGGAAGGTCACAGGCACCTGGGGATGACCTTTCTAGAACTAGACCCTCCTGCTGCTAAACTGCTGAGAGCAAGAGAGAGAGAGACAGAGAGACAGAGAGACAGAGAGCGTGAGAGAGAGCGCGACATGGGCTAGACTCTAGATCCAGTGAGTTTGAATTTGAGTCTAGATTGACCACTGTCCAGTTAGGGAAGAAGTACTGCACTCCTGGGTGCCTCAGGTCTAGTTCTGAAATAATACAATCGTAACCTCACAGCTTTGTTATGAGAACAAAAGGTTTGACATAGGGAGAATGTTCAGAACAGGAATTCATACGGGACTTTATAGCATAAAGACCACATGTTCTGTGTTGCTTATAAAGGTCATTACCCCAGGGTGAGGAGCTGTGGCTCACATGCGCCCTGTGTTTAGGGCCCCATCATGTAAAGCAGCTGTGTCCAGGGACAGGGACAGGGTCGGGGCAGGCAGAGTCACACCATGGAGAGGAAATCAGCTGTCTCCTGACTTGAAGGGATGACCGAGGAGCTGGCATTCACGGCATTCTTTGCAGGACATCTACCAACTGTTTACAAATTAAACTCAACATCTCTATGCGATGCTGAGCTAAACAAATATCCACAACAAAAGCGGAGTCAACAGCAGCAGGTGTCAAAAGCTAAATAAAAGTTGATGAGAGAGAAAAGGAGCTGCTTAATATCTTACCTCCACCACCTCTGACCAATTTTTAACATTCTAAGATGGAAAAAGACTACCATGAATTAGACAGTGCCTTGAACAGTGGGACCCCAGACCACCTGCAATACCAGTGTCTACCAGGGGGACACTTTGGGCTCCTGGCAAAAAGGGACACACTCTGGCCTGGAAGTCAAGTCACATGAGTTCTAGTTTCAGCCTTCCACTAACTTCCCTGTAGGTACTGACATGTCTCAAATATGTACCAAGTGATTACTAGGGAATCAAAGGTAATAAATCAAACCCAGCCCCTGCCCTCATGGAGCATATGGTCGGTGGGAAGGACAGGACCCAGCAACTCAACCAACGGAAGCAAACCGTCAAGTAGGACAAGTGGTAACAGGTGAGCTTCAACCCCAGACAGAAGGACTGATGAAATATCCTGAGGTGACTTTAAAGGCGCCATGTTGGGGGAGTGGTGACAAGAGGAGAGCACAGCAGGGAGAAAGAAGTTCACGCAAAGGCCCTGTGGTCAGGGAAGTAAGTAGGAAGCCAGGGTGAATAGTGCCCAGAAAGGCAGCTAGAGACTAGAGACTGAGGCCGGGACAGTGAGCAGTCTTGTCTTTACCCCCAAGAGAAAAGCCTTGATGTGACAGGGAGAGAGACAACAACAACAACAACAAAAGAGGGAAAGACAGAGGTGTGTGATTAGATTAAAAATAAGAAGAGTAGCCCTGGCTGGTTAGGCTTAGCAGTTAGAGTGTCAGCCTGCAGACCAAAGGGTCACAGGTTTGATTCCTGGTCAAGGGCACGTACTTGGGCTTCGGGTTCAATCTCTGGCCCCAGTCAGAATCATGCGGGAGGCAACCAATAGACGTGTCTCTCTCACAATGTTTCTCTCTCTCTCTTTCTCCCCCTTCCCTCTACTCCTTCTAAAAATCAATGAAAAAATATCCTCAAGGGGGATTAACCAAAAAAAAAACAAACAACAACAAGTGCTCTGGCTACCTGGTGGAGAAGGCCTGGGCAAAGCAGCAGTGGCCAGGAGGTTGCCAGTCATCTAGTAAAGAGACCAGGGCACGTTGAGTTGGAACAAGCTCAGATGCCAAGAGATGCCAAGTCACCGGATTATCCTGGGCTTCAGTGCACTCTCTACTAAACTGAGCAAGTTGAACAAAGTGGATTAGTCGACTTTTTAATCACATAAGATATGACAGGCGACAATCTAGCGGAGGGTTCTATGCTCCAAAAACGAAAGATGAGCTTTAAAAATGATCCTCACCCGGTCCATGTGGCTCAGTGGTTGAGCATCGACCCAAGCATCAAGAGGTGGCTGGTTCTATTCCCAGTCAGGGCACA